TTTGCATTTTGAACAGCAACAGCTTTGAATAAAAAAAAAAAATCGTATCAGAAGAAAGTACCAAACCAATTGAGATTTGTAATTTTATACAATTTAAAATGAATATAGTCGGGAATTATTGAATCATAAAAACCATAAACGTTTTGCTTTGCTTTTAGAAATGATAGCAAATTAAATATGAACATTTTAGCAAAAAGTGAAAATTACAAGAATTTAAGTTAAAATTAAACCAAATGAGAATTTTGGTTTTTGCATTACACAAAATGAATTTGATTAAAATATAAGTTTCGAAAATGAAATCAATTTTTAATAGTCATAATTTCAGATTATATACGCTAATATGAAAACAATACAAATTTTATAAAATTACTTTTTAATATTCATTATTCCAGATCTTTGCTGCATTTATTAAAGTTTAAAATGTGGTTGCCATATTATTAGTTTGATATATACATTAAAAGTTAATGTTCCAGTAAACTACTTTACGATACAATTTATTTATGAACTTCGTAAAGTAAACTTCGTTAAACTAAAATTTCATTTTTGGGTAAATACTCACCGACGTGTTGTATTGGCAACTTAATCATATCACGTATCACAGCATCCACAAAAGTGTCATTCTCACTATAAAGTTCCTTTTTGGAGATGCGCAACTGGAAACGTTCTAAATTGCTGGCATTTTTACTATAATAAAAAAAAAGTAAAATTTTAAAATGTTATATAATAGAAAATACAAAATCTTGTAAAATAATAAAACAAAATAATATAACTGAAGTGTGAAATATTAAATAAAAAAATATATAATAAATTTAAATTAAATAAAACAATTCCCTTGGGGAATTATGCAGATCTAAGGGCAATTATTGCTTAGTCTGATGAAGTGATAAACAATAATGCAGTCAAGGCGTAAAGAAGGGTTTTAAAAATACCTCGAGTTAAGAAAGTGTAAAAGTGCTCAAGTGCACTGTTTTAAATAGCTTCAACATAATTAATTAAAACAAATTAATTAATTAAAATATAAAAATTACAAGAGCGTTTTATTTACGTTTACTTTCGGAACCGCAATGGACAATCTTGTATGATACTTGCTACTGCATACATATAAGCCAGTTTTTTCATAAATTTTTATAATTGAATAGGAATAAAACCAAAAAAGAAAGTACTTTAAGTAACATTACTTTAAGTACGAATATAAAAACCTGGGTTATTATATATAGCATTTACTATATAACGAAACAAATATATTTTACAGGTTTAGCATATATATGGACTTTAATACATTTTACAATATAGTACTGGATTGATCTACAGATGACATAGTAATAATAAGATTTGTTAACAGAGCGAAAATAAACGAAAGAAGAAAATAAAATGATATATAATAAAATAAAGTAGAGTAAAAACAAAAGAATATTAGTAGAAGTGTCAGCTAACAGTACTTAAAACGACAAGTAGAAATAATTAAGGTAGCAAATGATAATTTCACACCAATAAGCAGTGCAAACAATTGAGAAAGTTATTAAAAGTAGAAAGATAAAGTGTATGAAAATGAATTTTTAGAAAAAAATTGACAGATATCTTAAGAATATGAAGTATTTGAACAAAAAATAAAAAAATTGTATGTTTAAGTAGCAAAGTAGCTCAATATTTGGAATGACACGCACTCTCTCGGTCGCTCCACTCTGTAACTATAAACTTAACAACACCTCACAAACAGTCAGATACCAAAATTTGAAGATTAAAGTACCGCCGAATAGAAATATCCTGAGCACTTAGTCTACCAAAGATTGTTTACCAATGTTAGTATAGTATGGTATACCAAAGGTAGTATACAAAATAAGACTATTGGCGAAAGGACTTTAATATATGTACCGAGTGAGTAGATTTAGCATTGTACTAATGACGACATCGATTCTTGAGAATGCAGTGTTATTTAACGTAGTTACCTGCCTTGAAGGCTTAAGACCACGGTGTCTTAAAAGACAAACCCATTAAGATAATGCATCAATAAATGACTCTTTACAAATTCCAAGGAATTTTCACCGGCAGCCATTGAACTGATGTATTGGTAAGGAACGAGCCCGATCCAACTTCTGCTGATCTTTGAGTCACAGCAACCGATGTGAATATGCAACTCCATGCCGCATGAAAGTATAATGCAATCATTCTTCCCATGTAAGTTTAGGTAATAACCACAGCTATTATGACAATGTCAATTATCAATTGGTCAGAAGAGAAGAAGAGCCTTTCCTCGGGAATATTCTAACCTCTTACCCGCAGGAGGAAACTGGATTGATCACAATGAGCCTTTTAAAGTATGAAGTGGGGTTCAAACTAAGACTCACGACAGCTATTTTAAGAAGCTGGCAACGGAACAAAATTTCCTAATAAATTTTATACTGTCATAAGTAACTTTAAATTTCTCTACTGAGATGGACTTAACTTATATGAAATAAATTAATATAACAAAATATATTAAATTAAAAGAAAATAACTGAAGAAAAAAAATTAATTTATATAAATGAGCTCTTATATAGACGGGCATGTGAACTAAATTAGTTCGAACATTTATTTGAAAAGTAACTGCTAACGATAAGAGGGGACGGCAATTTTTTATTGGAAAGAAAAGTAACAAAATGCTGACAATTGATGTGTTGGAATACGTCAGACGAGCAACTTAAATGGCCAACAAATCGCTAGGAAAGTAATTTCATTTCTGGTTTACCTAATCGAGTTTCCTGTTTGATTTATCAAAGCGAAGGAGTTTCAAGCAAATTTTATTATGCACAATTTTTCATTTTATTTTTTATTTTGCTCCAGCATGCACTTTTCTTTCAAAATGCAGCAGGATGCCATTATGCAACTGTATAAGCGTTAAGAAGTATTACCACTTCCCTTCTTGCGCTTTCAACTAGCACATTTAGTTGTTAGTCCTGAACTGCACAATTTCTAAGAAGATTTTCCTCCTCAGTTTTTCCTTCGTTGAATTGTTGATGAGAATGTAGTATTGTTCGAGAACGGAAAATGTGTAAGTATGCCAACGCGAACGTCACTTTCCTGAAGATTTTTTTCCTTTTTTGGTTTCAGTTTTAAATATCTTT